GTGTGTGTGTGTTGGCAGTGTCTCTAGGGAATTTATAACTCAGCGGCAAAAGACTTAGCATTTAGCATTTGGCTATCCCTCCTTCCAGGGGGCATCAGTGCCAGACTCCAATTGTACCCATCAGGAAACGTCTTTTCTGCTCCTTTTCTAGCTTCATCTTACTCCCTGGGGACCCCTGGAGCAGCACTGTGGGTGGAGGTAGGAAGACTATAAGATGTAGAGAAATAATGGTGAAGCCAGCGCTACCCCCACTCCCTTCCACACGGCAGGATTTCAAGCCTGCTTTAGACCTAATGGAGGAGAAGCTTTAAATTAGATGAGAGTTTAAAGTCCACAAAATGGGATTCCAGAGGTAGTTATGAAAGAAATTAGTTTATAGTTATTACACTTTGTCAAGTTCAATGGTCTTAAGTCAGTTCTAGCAGCAGAGCCTGAGATAGGTATTCAAGTGCACAGAATTTATTGAGAGAGTCCTCAGTGCTCTCAGGAGAAACTTGAAGGAGAGAGAGTGAACCAGGATAGGGCAGGGGAAGAGGCTAGGCAAAGATGTGGTCTCAGGTAAAGACTCATCTTGGTCTGATCCACAAGGGACTGTGAAGCATAAATAACACCACAAAGATGTCCCACTTCGTCAGTCAGTTGGGGTGAGGTGGGGATGAAGAGTAACCTCCCGAGTGAGTTAGCTCCCATCAGCCGTGGGCAATCCTTCAGACAGGGGGCAAGCTTTGAACTGTTGTTAACAGTGAACACTCAACGCAGCTGAGGGATGGCTGCTCCAGCCCAGTAAAAGGGACCTAGATGGGCACCAACAGTGACTGTTAACAACACTTTATTTCAAAGCCCATTCCGTAGCCTTTTCTTTACAAGAACTTTAGCAGTCCCCTTGAAATATTTTTATGTGCAGTTGATACCTACAGTACAGTCTTAGTCTTGGGAAATGTTCTAAGAAAATATGCATTGAGGAAGAGAAAGTTCCCTGCCCAAATTGTGCCACCACATTGGGCCTGATGTGTAATAGCATACTTCTTTTTGGAATTTGGTGTGTTCATTACAATAATCATAGTGCAACATAGCACACTCTTAAGATTTCCTCTTTTCTACAATAAAAATCTATGTGAACTAAAATCTTATGCACCCCTAACACTGTGAGTTGCAATACAAGGGCATAAATGGAGGCTGCCTACATACCATATATCCAATTACCTAAAAGGTAAAAACCATGCCAACAAACTGATAGGTAAAATAAGTTGTATCCCACTACATTGACATATATGCCTTCGTAACAACCTGGTCAAGTTTGAGTTCATAATTTTCAGATTCCTTAAAGTTTCATGTTAAAATAAGATGGTGGAGGAGACAGGGTCCTGCCTGTGGCTCACTGACACTGTACTTCCTATCCGTCTTCCATTTTGTTCGGTGAGCACAAGCATATTTGACTGCTTGGACTGCCACGACAAAATGCCATAAACAGGGTGGCTTTAAAAGAGAAATTTATTATTTCACCTATAAATGACTATTGTCATTTTAAGCCACTAAGTTTTGTGGTGATTTTTAAATGCAGAATTAGATAACTAATAAAGGAGAGAAGTACAACAGAAGGGCCATCCCAGAACTCTCTAAAATGTGGGGCCTAGGACTGGGGCTACTTTTGCTTGGATCTAAAGGCAGTGCTGACTATAGGATATCAATTTTGTTTCTTTAGGGACCCGGAGATTTCCTAGGGAAGGGTGGGTTTATTTACACAAAAGAAAAACCAGAACCAGACAAAGACCCAACAACAAAAAGAAAACTAAAGGCCAATGTCTCTGACGAACATTGGTGCAAAAATCCTCAACAAAATACTAGCAAACTGAATTCAACAACACAGTAAAAACATTATTCTTCATGACCAAGTGGGATTCATCCCACATATGCAAGGATGGTTCAACGTATGCAAATCAATAAATGTGAAACATCTTATCAACAGAATGAAGGACAAAAATCATATGATCGTTTCAATGATGCCGAAAAGGCATTCGATAAAATCCAACATCCCTTCATGATAAAAACTCTCAAAAAAACTGCATATAGAAGGAACAGACCTCAACATGATAAAAAACCATATGCAGTAAACCTACGGCTAGCATCATACTGAGCAGTGAAAAACTGAAAGCCTTTCCTCTAAGATCTGGAACATAACAAGGATGTCCACTTTCACCATTTTTATTCAACATAGTACTAGAAGTCTTAGCCAGAGCAATAGCAATTAGACAATAGAAAAAAAAAATAAAAGAGCATCCAAATTGGAAAGGAAGATGTCAAATTATGCTTGTTTGCAGATGATATGATCTTATATTTAGAAAAACCTAAGGACTCCACCAAAAACTATTATAGCTGATAAATAAATTCAGTAAAATTGCAGGATACAAAATCAACTTACAAAAATCAGTAGTATTTCTATATGCCAATAATGATCAATCTGAAAAGCTGAGAAAGTAATCCCAAATTTAGCTACAAATAAAATAAAATCCTTAGGAATAAACTTAATCAAAGAAGTAAAGTATCTCTACAGTGAAAACCATAAAACATTGATGAAAGGAATTAAAGAGGACATAGAAAAAATAAAAAGATATTCCCTGTTCATGAACTGAAAGAATCAATATTGTTAAAATGTAGATACTACCCAAAGCAATCTACAGATTCAAGGTAATTGCTATCACAATACCAATGATATTCTTCACAGAAATAGAAAAAATAATCCTAAAATTTATATGGAACCACAGAATACCCAGAATAGCCAAACCTATCCTAAGAAAAAAGAACAAAGTTGAAGGAATCACCTTACCTGACTTCTATTATACCCAGAGATATAGTAACCAAAACAGCATGGTGCTAGCATGAAAACAGACATAGAGACCAATGGAACAACAGAGAGAACCCAGGAATAGATCCATGCATTTACAATCAACTCATTTTTTATAAAGGTGCCAAGAACATACATTGAAAAAGCTCAGTCTTTTCAGTAAATGGTGCTGGGAAAACTGAGTATTTATATGCAGAAGAATGAAACTAGACCCCGCTCTCACCATATACAGAAATCAAATACAAATGGATTAAAACTGAAATCTAAGACCTTAAACTGAAGCTACTACAAGAGGACATTGGAGAAACTCTCTGGAACACTGGACTGGGCAAAAATGTTTTGAGTAATGACCCACAAGCACAGGCAACCAAAGCAAAAATGGACAAATGGGATCACATCAAGTTAAAAAACTTCTGCACAGCAAAGGAAACAATCAACAAAGTGAAGAGACAACCCACAGAATGAGTGAAAATATTTGTAATCTACCCATCTGATAGGGGATTAATAACCAGAATATTTAAGCAGCTCAAACAACTCAATAGGAAAAAACAAATAATCCAGTCAAAAAAAAAAAAAATGGGCACAAGATTTGAACAGACATTTCTCAAAAGAAGACATACAAATGGCCAATAAGTATATGAAAAAGTTATCAGCATCACTAATCATCAGAGAAATGAAAACCAAAGCCACTATGAGATATCATCTCACCATAGTTAAAATGGCTTGTATCTAAAAGGCAGGCAATAATGAATGCTGGCAAGGATGTGGGGAAAGGGGAACTCTCGTACACTGTTGGCTGGAATGTAAGCCATTGTGGAGAACTGTTTGGATGTTCTCTAAAAAACCAAAAATAGAACTACCATGTGATCCAGCAATCCCACTGCTAGATACAAACCCCCCAAAATAAAATCAGTATATTGTAGAAATATCTACCCTTCCATGTTTATTGCAGCACTATTCACAATAGCCAAGATTTGGAATCAGTCAGAGTGTCCATCAACAGATGAATGGATAAAGAAAATGTGGCGTGCGTGTGAGAGTGTGTGTGTGTGTGTGTGTATGAAATATTATTCAGCCATAGAAAGAATGAAAGCCTGTCATTTACAACAGCATTCATGGAACTGGAGGACATTATGTTAAGTGAAATAAGCCAGGCACCAAAAGACATATATCACATATTCTCACTCATATGTGGGAACTAAAAAATACATGGAACTCATAGAGAGTAGAATAATGGTTACCAGAGGTTGGGAAGGGCAGTGGGAAGAGGGGGATAATGAGGGTATGGTTAATGGGCACAAAAATACAGTTATAGAAGGGATAAAATCTAGTGTTCGATAGCACAATGGGGTAACTATAGTTAAAGACAATTTATTGTGTATTTCAAAATAACTAAATGAGTGAAATTGGAATGTTTCTATCACACAGAAACGATACATTCTTGAGGTGATGGATACCCCAATTACCTTGATTTGATCATTATGCATTCTATGTTTGTATCAAAATATCACATGTACCCCATAAATATGTACAACTAATAATATCCGTAATAGTAATAATTTTTTTTTTTAAAAAAGGAATTTAAGCACTGATTAGGGTGTTTGAGACCAGGAGACTTTTCTTACCAAAACTATAACAAAATAGCTTTTTATCTAGAGTACACAAATAAACTAAAATGTAATGAGACATTTATTTGCTTGTTTGTATAAATACACCAAAATATACACATTGGAATAATCAAAGCAGAAGGCAGTTTACTTAAGCCAGTGATGCTGTCGGTTGGTTTTCAAAAATGCCTGTGAAACTTCTCTTTCAGAATCACCCATGAAGCTGGATTATGAGCTCCCATGAAACCAGACTCATCACTCAAACTGAAACTTGGTTGTGACCCCAGACAGCATTTCCCAGCATGATCACCCAACCTACTCAGCAGACTGCTCCAAATGGCTTAGAACTGTTTTCAAAACTCACATCCTCCATCTGAGGATACATGCTGTCAGGGTTATCTTTCTAAAACACATCTCAGATCATGTGCTTCAGTGGTTCTCAGTTGCATAGATAATTAAGTCTCAACTTCTCAGCCTGATTTTCAAAACTTTATTATACAACTCCCACTCAGCCTTCCAGTTCTGTCATCGACCAGCAGTCTCCCATGAACACACGACGACCTTTCTAGTTACCAATGAAAAGTACCATTTACTGAGCTCTTATTATGTGCCCCACACTGCACTAAGAGCTTTAAACAATATCTCATTTTATCCTTATAGGATTTTGTAGGATAAATATTATCTCTGTAGTACAAATAATAAAACAATGATTGCTAGCTCTTTTTATAGTGCTTACAATGTGCTAAGGCGTTGTTCTATAGAAATATGTGTGCCACATATGTAATTTTACATTTTTCGTAGCCACATTAAAAAGTCAAAAGAAATAAGTGAAGCTGATTTTAATAAAATATTTTGTCAGGGAGCATGTAATTAACATAAGACATCATTAATGAGATATTCCACATTTTCTTTCTTTTTTTATTTTTTGATACTAAGTCATTAAAATCTGGTGTGTATTTTACACCTATTACATATCTCAATTTGGATGCTAAATTTTCATTGGAAACATTTGAATTCCAATGAAATCAACAAAATAAATACTATGTTTATATTTTATAAAATGTACAGTAAAAAAATGTAGATTACATACCCAAGTTGTTATGAACATATCTGCATATCTGGAAGATTTCTAACATCTGAATCAAGTACCAAAAAGTCATTTCCTTTTCTATTCTCATCTAAATTGTTAAAATTGCTTGAATTTAACATTTTTAATTTCACTTTCAATCAATTAAAATAGAGTTAAAATTTTAATTTCTAACGTTGCCCTAGCCACATTTCAAGCCTCAGTAGCCACATGTGGCTGTGGCTGCCGTGCTGGACAGCATAGGTCTAAGCACTTTACTACTGTGAGGTAGGTGCTGTTATTATCTTCACTTCATTCTCAGCAAACTAACAAAAGAACAGAAAACCAAACGCCGCATGTTCTCACCACATTGTTCAAGTGGGAGTTGAACAATGAGAACACATGGACACAGGGAGGGGAACATCACACACCGGGGCTTGTCAGCGGGGGGCTAGGGGAGGGACAGCATTAGGAGAAATACCTAATGTAGATGATGGGTTGATGGTTGCAGCAAACCATCATGGCATGTGTATACCTATGTAACAAACCTACACATTCTGCACATGTACCCCAGAACTTAAAGTATAATTAAAAAAAAAAAAAGAAAAGAAAAGAAACAGAGGCACAGAGAGTCGTAATTTGCATTAGTGCACTCAGCTGACAAACTGAATTGTTTCATTTGTCAGAATGCTTTCATTTGCTCAGAATGGTTGATTTGTCCAAGGTGACTTTGCTAATAAGGGTTAGAACCAGGAGTTGAACTCAGGATTGTTTATGTTCATAGCCTAAGTTTTTGCTATGGTGCTCATTGCTCTACACATTTAATTGCTTACTATTATCCTAAAATCCTTCATTGATGCTGGTCTTTTTTGTCAGACTGTTATCTCTGTCTGTATTGCCTTGCAAGGTCCATTTTAAGTATCATTCATTCACCCATTTATTCAGTCAGTAAGTTAATTTCTTTTTCCAGCAAATACTGTTAGCCATTTTTCAAATATCTGCCATGTAGACAATAGCCGTGAACAAGGCACACATGGCCTCTGCCCACACATAACTTTTAGTTTAACAGCACTTCTCGAACTTTTAAATCTCCAGACCCTATAACACTCTAAAACTTGTTGAGGACCCCAGAGAGCTTTTGGCTATGTAGGTTATAGCTATCAATATTTATTGTAATAGAAATTAAAACTAGGACATTTTCAAAACATTTATTTATCCATTCATTTAAAGATAACATAATATGGCTGGGTGTTGTGGTTCACACCTGTAATCCCCAGCACTTTGGGAGGCTGAGACAGGCGGATCACTTGAGGCCAGGAGTTTGAGACCAGCCTGAAGAACATGGTGAAACCCCATCTCTACTAAAAAACACAAAAATTAGCCAGGAAGGGTGGTGCACGCCTGTAATCCCAGCTATTTGGGAGGCTGAGGCAGGAGAACCTCTTGAATTAGGTAGGCAGAACAGTGAACTGAGATTGCGCCACTGCACTCCAGTCTGGGTAACAGAACGAGAGTCTGTCTCAAAAAAAAAAAAAAAAAAAAAAAAAAAAAAAGGAACATAACGTAATAAACCCATTATATGTAAACACAAAGAATATAGAATTATGAAAATATATTTTCCAAGACAACGGTTAATAAGGAGAGTGGCATTGTTTTCTGACTTTGCTAATCTCTTTAATGTGTGACTTAATAAAAGACAGCTGAATTCTCATCTCTGCTTCTGTCTTTAATCTGTTGCAATATGTTGATTTGGTTGAAATATATGAGGAAAATCTGGCCTCAACCAGATATGTAATTAGAAAAGAGAGCAGTGGTCTTAACCCATTTATGCTAGAGGTTGCAAATTTTTGAATTGCAGATATGTGTGAAAAATCAGACCTTGACGATGACCTTGAGCAGTAGGATATAAATAACTCCCACATGCTTAGCGTTCCAATAATGGAACACTAGGCGTAAATGAGTTAATAGGCTCTTAAGTGTGAAAATTGTTTTTTGCTACTATTCCGAAACTCAGCAAGTGATTGTTTATTAAGGTTTAGCTACAATATGGAATCTGAAACCATATCAATTTCATATATTAAAGTTACAAAAATTCCTAGCCTACCTTGCGCATTCAATGGATTTTATTATTATTATTATTTTGAGATGGAGTCTCACTTTGTCACCCAGGCTGGAGTGTAATGGTGTGATCTTGGCTCACTGCAACCTCCACCTCCTGGTTTCAAGAGGTTCTCCTGCCTCAGCCTCCCGAGTAGCTGGGATTACAGGCATGAGCCACCACGCTCGGCCTCAATTGATTTTATATATGCTTTTGTAACATGTATTGTTCATTTGGAAAACATTGATTCACTGAGTTATACAGCTCCTTCAAATGTTGACACATTTCATTATTTATTTAAGAATCACGTTCACAGCCGGGTGTGGTGGCTCATGCCTGTAATCCCAGCACTTTGGGAGGCTGAGGCAGGTGGATCACGAGGTGAGAAGATCGAGACCATCCTCGCTAACACAGTGAAACCCTGTCTCTACTAAAAATACAAAAAATTAGCCAGGCATGGTGGCGGGTGCCTGTAGTACCAGCTACTTGGGAGGCTGAGACAGGAGAATCGCTTGTACCCGGGAGGTGGAGGTTGCAGTAAGCCGAGATTGCACCACTGCACTCTGGCCTGGGTGACAGAGAGAGACTCCATCTCAAAAAAAAAAAAAAAAAAAAGATCACATTCACTAATATTAGCACAGATCAGATCAATCTTCAAGTATCAGGAGGCTGTCAAGCTTGTACAGGCAGGTACAATTTTTCCAAAATTCTGATTTTTATTTGAAGGCTCAAATGTTACCATTGGCAACATATACTGCGAGTTGTTTTTCTTGAAGTAACAGGCTCATTTTGTTCATTTTTGAGAAAATTTCTACCATAGTCAAGTCTAAACAACCATAGTTTGTCTGATGTTCTTTCAAGTAAAAATGGTGCTCCTTGAAGAAAGCATCTAGCTCAGCTCACAAGTCAAACAGTCATCAGGAGCTTTTCCTTGAGAGGACCATTGTGTTTCAATGAGCAGCAAAAATGCTTAATGCATACGTTCCCATTGTGTCAAGCAGAATATTAAACAGATACATATTCAAGGGCAGTAATTTAACAAAATTCATCATTTTTAGTGCTTAATCAAGGGCTTTCTTAAGTAAAACTAGCATTTTTTTCTCGTAGTGAAGAAGAATACAATGACTAATAGTAAGTATATTGCCACTGCCTGTTTTTGCTAATACACCAGCAGTATTTCACCCACCATTGCTTTTGCACCATCAGTGAAAATATCAATCCAGTGAAAAAGGTAAATAACATTTTAATATCATCATGAAACTAGTTTTGACCTCACGAATCCCTTGAAATGGTCTCAGGATCCCAGGAATCTAAATGCCACACTTTCAAGACCAGTGGTGTAGAAGGAAAAATAATTGGACAAGTACATGGGTAAGCTTGTTCACTCCAAGGGGTCAAGGAAGGCCTCATGGATAAAGTGATATTTAAGGTTAGACCAGAAATATATGTATCAGTGACCCAAGTGAACAAAGGGCAGGGCAGGGAAGGAGAGTGTCAGGCAGACATAGAGGTGTGTGTAAAAGCTGGAAGAGAGGCAGGCTGCAGGAGCTACAAGAGGCTCATTTGGCTGGGACTTGAAATGTCAAAGAGAGAGCAGTAAGTGATGAGGCCAGAGAGATGGCAAGGCCAGCCAGCAAACAGCCTTGCAAATACATTGAGGGCATCACATCACCTCTGTTTACTCCTGAAAATATTTAACCTGAATTGAATCATGAGGAGAAAACCAGACAAATCCAATTTGAGGACATTTTACCAAATAATCTGACTGGACTCTTAAAAAATGTCAGGGTATCAAAAGACAGAAAAAAACTGGGAAACTGTTCTAAATTAAAGGAGACTAAGGGAGACATGACATCTAAAAGCATTACACAATTCTTGATTGGATCTTGGATTAAAAAAAAAAAAACACTGTCTTAGTCAATTTAAGCTACAACAGAGCACCTTAGACTGGGTAACTTATAAACAACACAAATTTATTGCTCACAGTTCTGGAGGCTGGGAGGTCCAATACTAAGGTGCCAGCAGATTTATGTCTGGTGAAGCCTTGCTCCCTGTTTCATTGATAGTAGCTTTTGTGTCCTCACATGATGAGGGACAAGGCAGTTCCTTTCAACCTCTTTTGTAGGAGCGCAAATCCTAGTCATGGAGGCTCTACCCTCATGACTTAATCACCTCCTAAAGGCCCCACCTCTTAATACTACCACACTGACAATTAAATTTCAGCATATGAATTTAGGGGACACATTCAGACCATAACACCCGACACCACCACCACCACCACCAATAACTATGAAGGGTATTGTTTTGGGACAATTAGGGAAATTTGAATATGGACTACATATTAGATAATGCATACATCAAGGTTACATTTTCTAAATGTGTGGTTGCATTTTGGTTACATAGGAGAGTGCCTTTGTTCTAGGGGGATACAATGCTGAAGTATTTAGGGATGAAGTATGATGTCTGTAAATAGTTTAACTCTCAAATATTCATAAAAAACTATTTGTATGTACATACAGAAACAGAGAGAACAATAAGACAAATGGAGCAGAATGTTAACAATTGATGAAACTTGATATAAGCCCTAAGGGCATTAACTTTACTACTCTTGCAAATCATCAGTAGGTTTGAAAATTTTTCAAAATAAAATGTGGGAATATAACGAATTTGGGCCTTATTCTAGAATCAACGGAAGCCACGGAAAGATGGTAGCCAATAATCAGGATTTGTAAATAAGGGATCAAAACCAGACTCAAACAGGAAAGTTACTAACTTGTGATCAGACATGATGGATGATGCTGGTCTCCAGATTTCAGAATCCAGATCCCCTCAGGTCCTACCACTCTGCTCCCAACTTTCCTCTCATTCCTGTTTCTCTGTAACACTTGGCCTCATTCTTTGTAATTACAGGCAAGAGTCCTCTGCCAGGGAACAGTGGCCTCAGGCAAGTCTGAGATTGCTTTTTTACTCTCTCTGAACCCTACTTCCACTAATAGATTCTATTTGAGGTTAACCAATTGCCAAGAAAGCATCTTCCATGGTCCTGAGGGGTACACAGGTTGCCCTTTGACCAATCACTGAGGTCACTGATGTGAGCGACAACAATTGCTTCTCTCTGGTCCTGCGCTTGCTCTGTGAATCAGTTTCTCCTTTGAGAAGCAGATGCCAAGAAAGGATTAGATTTACAAGAAATGTATTGGAAATACTAGGAAAGGATAGGCTAGAAGGGAGCGGGAGCAGGTAGGGAGAGCCTTCAGACTGTGATTCAGGCTTGACATT